TAAAAGGTAGAGTGGCCTGGGAGAGCACAGCATTTTGGAGACACCCAAAGCAGCTCAGCATTAGCTGATCACAGAATGAGAAAGGGGGACACGAGAGAAATCCAGAGAGGCAGGCAGAGGCCAGACCACGTACGGGGAAGCAGTCATCAGATTTGCATTTTAGGAAGACCACTTTAGCCGAAGTGGGTAGACTGGCACTAAACAGGGGCGGGCTAGGGGCCGGACAATGAGGTCGATAAATTAAATAATTTTAATAAATTAAGCTTAATAACTGAATTCAATTTGGAAATGGTAAGTGTTGAGTTTAGGCATTGCTTTGGAGAAGAGAGAGAAAGGATGGATTTAGAGGCATAAGACAGTGTTATGGGCTGAAATATCTCTCAAAAACTCACGTTCAAGTCCTAACCGTGAGGACCTCAGAATGTGAGTGTCTGTGTAGAGGGGGCCTTCAGGGAGGTGATGACATTAACAGGAGGCCATTAGGTGGGCCCTCGCCCAATTCGGCTGGTCCAATATGTTTTTCTAGGAAGGGGACATTAGGACCTACACAAGCACAGAGAGAAGAGCCTGTGAGCAAAGACACCGGAAAAAGACAGCTGTCTACACACCAAGGAGAGGCCCCGAGGAGAGGCCAAGCCTGCCAATGCCTTTCTGTCACCTAATCGTCATCCTTTGTCACGGTGGCAGAACAAAAAAGACAAGGAGCAAGAACCAGGAGATGTGGTGATCACAGAGACGTGGGAGCAAGGAGAGAGGGAATAAAGGGCAACTTTGAGGCTTCTGACTTGTACAATGTAGTGCTGGGGCCCCAAAAATGACACCCCCAAATATCATGTTTGGCTGTGCTAAGGACTCGACCTACGGGGGGAAGCTCGCCCTGCTTCTGCCTATCCAGGCCTAAGAAGAGACTCTCTGGAATTCCCTTATCTTCATTAGGAACAGAGCGAAAAGCAACTCAACAGCCGTCCCACCCTGAAGCCCCATTATCTAACTCCCATTATCTAAAAGAAGACGGGAGGAATGTAACCTCAGCAGGACAGGCTTCCCCTGTGAGATAAAGTCTTTCCCTCAGGCACATTCAAATTCCTGAGAGACCGTCTTGGGGACCATTAATTTCTCTAATCATCACTCACCAGCCTTCAAAATTGTCTACGCTTCCCTCCATAGAGAAAGGGGTAAACGAGGAGTTTTTGAATGACGTTAAGTGGGTAGTTGATCACACTCCCAAGATTTCCCCTGATGTTATAGTTTTCCCCTTTTGCACATGAATGAATGTGTATTCCTTTTCTCTTATTTAATTTTTGACAGTATATTCCAGTGACCCTTCAGTGGAGAAGTGTCCCTTTACCTCTATGTAACAGGGGTTCGCTTGATGCTTTGACTATGTCCCTTGTTGCTTTGAAACTTACACGTATTTTCTCTTTTTTCCCAATCTTCTCCTCCCTGATCTTCTTTTCCCTGAGCTTCTCTTTCCTGATCTCTCCTCCCTAATCTCATTTTCTCTGAATCCCCTCTTTAAAAGCTCCCTGCTCCTGCTGATGGGGAGAATCACAGCCTTTGGGACAGGAGTCCCCTGTGTCTCTCCTTGGCCAGCAAAGCAATAAACTGTCTTTTTTTCCTTTTTCTTAAAACCGTGTCCTCGTGATTGGATTGGCATGGGCATAAGGACTGAGGTTTGGCAGTATCTACACTAGCATGTGATGCTTCTGTGTTCCAAGAGGTGTGACCAGGAGGAACAGCGGGATTGGAGATGGTGAAGGACAGCCAAGTGGAGATGTCCACTGTACAGGCCCAGTCAGGAGGCATGAGCTGGGGATACGGACGTTGGCATCTCCAGACACAGGGGTGGCTTCAGCAGATCAGCTTTTGAGGTTACCCAAGGGATATACATGCTAAGACAAGAAAGGGCAGGAGATAGAACTGTGGAGAAGCCCATCACTTACGGGAGAGAAGGAAGGTAATCTGAGCACAAGAAAAAAAGGGGAGGCTTTGATGGAGGTTCTCAGAGAGGAATAATGTCCAGAAAATCCATAGAATCACACCAGTGCTGGAAAAATGATGCTTTTGAGTTCTCCACCCCCAAGTGCGCTCTCTCTCTCTCTCTCTCTCTCTCCACACACACACACACACACACACACACACACACACACACGTTTGCTTTGCAACCACTTTACCCATTATTTTTTGTGCACTACTGTTCATGTTTTGGAGTAGGGACCAGAGAGGTACAGTGATTTTCCGGAAGCCACGTGAGATTCAGGCCTGACTCTGTTTGACTGTAAAGATCTTTCCACTATGAAACTGCCCTCTTCTCTGAGGTCTTCCTACCGCTCAGTCCTCCTCCCCTCCCCAGCTGTACTCTATGGCTGGAATGATTATACGGAAGGCCTGGAGCACCTTCGCTTGATATAAATACTTTTTCTTTTTTTGACCAGTGCTGGGGATTGAATCCAGGGTGTCATACCTACTAGGCCAGGGCTCTACTACTGAGCCATCTTCCCACCCTGGAGGACCTTTACTCTCAACAGTTACAAACAGTCATGAGCATTTCCCATCCAAATATGGAGGAAAAACATGAAGAGAGCAAGCTTCATGCCTACATCCTGTGTAGGTGGAAACCTGAATGCTGGGTGAAATGTCAGAGGTCATTTTTGCAAACTCATCTTTAACAGCAATAGTCCCGTGTAATGTATATTTGGTGTCCTTTGGAATTTTAAAAAGAAAAAGAAAGAGAGTATTATTTTATTTTATTTTTTAAAGAGGCCCTTCTACCTTCTCACTGAAATAAAACCGGAAGAGATTTGTCCACCCTGAGCAGTCTCTGGGGCCCAAGGTGAGCTCAGTCTTGAGGGACAAATTCAGCACCCTTGTCACTTCAACTCATGATACTTCTGAGGTCCTGCAGTATGAATCACCTCCATGAGAGACCCTTTCGGCAGTGACCCAATCTCTGTCTCAGTGCCAGCGACCCGGGCAGGGATGGGGACTTCCAGCTTCCTGGTACAGCCTGACAATGAGCCGTTTCAGGTCTTTCTAATTTTGAGGTTAAGTCTCCTTCTCTAGAGCTCCCTTTTACAGTGAAGAGGAGAACTGTGTAAAATACAAGCCCTGAAGCAGGGGCCTGGGAAACGTTTTCTTCTCATCCTCTCACCAGGTCAGAGCTTGGAAAGGCAGCTCTGGCCCTGGGCTTCCCGGGCTGGCTGCGAGCAGGCGGCCACAGGCAATTCTGCACAGCAGAGCTGTTTCCTCATACCTGAGTGCAACCCTCCCGGCTTGCACTATTTAAGGCCAGCACACTGGAACTTACTGTGAGTCACGGCACCCAGGAGGGCAGCAGCAGCTCCATTCATCCCAGCTCCTGGCCCCAATCGGGGGAGGAATCTTCCCTTGGCCATGGCTTCCCTGGGGCAGATCATCTTCTGGAGGTAGGGTACTCGTTTCTCTATCCTTACAGGTTAAGAACAGGAGTGAGGTCTTTGGGGGGTGCTGATCTTATCTTTTTCTGATCCAGTATTAGGCTTGTGGGAGCCTTGCTGGACAAGAGCCTCATTGGACTAAAAAGCTACTGGGGGCATCTGTTTAAGGTTAGGGAGGTTTCTCTAGACTGAGGAGAGTGTGCACCTGGCTGGGGGCTCCATTGAGACATTAGGGTCTGAGTACTTTGGAGGCACTGAGCAGGGTTGCATGGAGGGCTTGGTGGGCTGGAAGGGAATCCATGGCTGGTTATGGGTGGGACACAGGAGACCCTCCAAACAGCCCTGAGGGTGAAGGTGAGCACGATTTGACTCTTCCCTGTGGATGTAATTTCTCTGAGCCATTCACACCAACATCCCTACATCACCCCAGCTGAAGGATGAGGTTCCAAGTTTTCCTGGAAGAAAGTTTCCTTGGAGAGGAGACACAGGCAGCAATCGCAGCTGCTCACTCCTCTGGAAGTGAAGAAAGGAGTAAGTTCCTCCCCTCCCCTGGATTCCAGAAGTTGTTTGAAGAAGCCTCCAATTTCTGTTTTATTTTTCTAATGAAAAAATAAATTCTTTTTTCTATTTTTTTTTGTTAGAAAAAAAATAAAACAGACTGAAGTTGGGCCCCCTCCCCCTAAAATGGAGAGCATATTCCTCATGCTGAGAGTCCATGCAAGGAAGAAAAGGAGGAAGGGATGGAGGGAAGGAAGAATAAAAGGGAATCCAGATCAACCGTGGGAAGTTTGTGAAGGGACTGAGAGGACAGCATGCCTTCCCAGAGGAGCCTAGAAAAAAGTCTTTTCTTTGAAGCAGGATGCCTGCTGCATCACCCCTGTTCACCTGAAACCACCAGCCCTGCCGCAGGGGTGGCAGAGACTCGGTAGCATCCTCCAAACCTGGCAGCACTCTGCTCCAGCAGACCCTAGAGAAGCAGCAGGTAGTGATGGTGGGCTTCCATCCAGGATGTCCACAAGACGCACCTGCATCAGAAGAGCTAGTGCTGTGGGAGCTTATACTAGGTGCCTCACAGAAGTGTCTACTTTGAGCCTCACTCCCCCATTGTGAAAAGTTAAATCCTTTGCTCAAGCCCTAGTGGCTATGTGTAAGGGTTTTAGACCCTATGGCACCCTAAAACCCTGCCCTAGGCTCGCCTCTGCTCCCACTGCCCCTGCTGCTCTGCCTCTCCCCTCCTCTGTTCCTCCAGTTTTGGTCCCATGGATGGGAAACATGCAAGTGGCTTTGTTGTTTCAGGGACCTTCGTGTGGGCTTTCTAATAATACGCTGCAACCAGTCTGACTGGTTTTGCTGGAGGATTAGCAAGAGGTGGGTGTTCAAAATGCAGATCCCCCACCCTTTAGAGACCCATTGGAATCCACAGAGGCTCCTCTTGTTGGCCCCAGTTGTCTCCTTAGCTATTTGTGCTCGGTGGTTGCAAAAGCAGGGACAAGCCACAAGGGTGGCGAATTCTTTGTGCAAAGGAGTCACTGGGAAAGGAACAATGAACAACTTCAGTGGGACGCAGGATCTAGGAAGCCTGTCCTAGGGATGCAGATGGAGCGTGCGTGGGGGGAGAACCCAGTGTTCTCTCTCAGCCATAAGAAGCTCTCTCTCTTTGCCATAATTTCATGAATGAATAACAGTATCTCTCATGGAGGGATCCTGGGACCTTCAGATGGAAACGTTCCGTGGGCAACAGAAGGCTTGAGGCTGAAATTACTAGAAGAAGTCAGGGCTGGGGATAGAGATCTGAGCTCACAGGCAGGGAATGGAGTGTCTTCTAAGGAGAGCACAGAGAGGAAAAGAAGCTGCAGTGGGGGAGTGAAGAACACCAACATTTAAGGGTGAGTGGAGGAAACTGGGGCTAAATGGGGAGAGGGGTAGGAAGAGATCAGAATAGAGAAGTCATGGGTGTCAATAGAACAGCGTGGCACGGAGCACCTAGGACTGATTCTTCATGAAACTTCCTGGTTTCACTGGAAATCATCTGTGACAAGGGGATTGATAAATCAAAAGAAGGAAGCTACTAGGTCGGAAAAAAGCAGCTATCTTTGTGCCAGACCAAAGTGGGTAAAATAGAGAGGGAGGGAGACTTGAACAAAGGAGGCTCACAGAGCTGGGCTCTGGGATCTTGTTCTCTCATTTTTTCCACATTTTCAAGCTGGCACCTGGCTCAGACATCTCAGATCTTGACGGCCAGAGAAAGTAGTGGCAACACCGTGCAAATTGTCTGGGCCTGGGGAGAGCTGAATACAAGTCATGTAAATTGGGCCCAACTTTCCACCTCTCTGAGCCTACAAAACCTGAGCCTTCGGGGTCTTTAGCCCATTTCTTAAACATGACGGCAACTTGGAAAATGGAATAAATTGTGCATTGGAATGAATTCCCAAATAGGTGGCACCTTGTGCCTGCCCCTTCGAGGGTATGTTATCTTCTGAGCGTGACGCTCTTCCCTGTCCCTACCTGTCCAGGCCTCTCATCTCAACATTCAGCTCAAATGCCACTTCTGCTTTGCAGTCTACCTGGATATTTCTAGTTGACCTTAATTGCCCCTTTTATGTTCACAGTCATGAATATCTGTTCCTGGTGCCCATCAGTGTCTCTCACTAGGGTTAGCTTCTTCAGGGTCTGTACTCTGTTTTGCTCATCCTTGTAGGGAGGTGGTGTTGCCTTGGGGCTACACATCTGGGCTCTGGGATTAGGCTATCTGGTTTCATATCTCTATGAGATTCAATTTCCTGTCTATAAAATGGGACCGATTATAGTACCTAACTGCTAGGGTTGTGGGAATGACGTGTGGAAATTAGTAAGTGCCTGGTACATCCTGAAAGTTCTGTTAACTATTGCTCTCCTCATTATTTGAAAAATCTCTCTACAGTTCTCAGTACTCTCCATAAAAACTTAACAATTCCATGACCCCACTGGCTTTTCCGCCCTGAAATAGATGTTCTAGCGAGGGCACACCGTAAATTAACTGCCAAGGGAGTCGCTCAGAGCAATTAGTACCTGCAAAATGCTGGAGAATATTCACAGAGTTCTCCAGTTTCTAATTTTGAAAAAAATAAAATAAAATAATAAAATCCATGCCCCCTCTCAGTCTATGAATCTGAGGCTCAATAATTCTCTAAATCCGAGGATGCCAGGGCTGAGACTCTATTAAATGTCTGGCTCTGCCCATATCAAGCATTAAAAAGTGGTGGTGAAGACTGTCAAGATAGGTGAGGTAGCCTGGGAGGACCTTTGATGCACATCTTATCATCTAGATCCTCTGATGTGGTGCTGTCTGTCAAGACCTAGAGCAACAGGCTTTGGGGTGCAGTTGGAGCTGTGGAACTATGACCAAGCACTCAATCGTGGTTCATTAGCTAAACTGCTTCACACTCTTAATTATTTCCATTTCGTAGATGCAAATGTTGAGGCAAGATCATTTTCTCAGTGTCTTCCCAGCAAGACCATGGCAGGAACAAACACGTTTCTACCTCTTCCTCTATACTGACTTTCATCAGAAAACTATCTTTCTGATCAGCCAGCTCTGCTTCATCTTCTGCCACTTAAAGCAGAACCCAATTCATCACGGGCAAATTCTCACTTCCTCCGAGACGAGTGACTGCCACAGCAGAAAGGTTTTTAGCTGGCTGATGAGAGAGTCATCCCCAGAATAGGCCAGAGGCTGTGGACTGTTGGTCTGTGTTGTTTCTGCGGCTAATCTAGATCAGAGAACGCAGCAGCAAGAAAAGATTAAATGCACTAAGAATCATACACTTTTAGAGTTTGAAAATTCAGAAAATCGGTACATGCCCTCATATTATCAATGAGACCATCAAACTAAAGTATGCAGTTTGCCCAAGGGTCATGCAGTTAAAGAATGATAGAAAAGGGGTTTTTCAATGATCCTTTAAACTGTGCTGGACCCCTGCAGACCATATTTTACCCAAGCATCAAGTGACCTCAAATCTGAGATATCAAAGCTTTCATCCGTATTTACCTCTGACCCATGAAAAAGTAGAAATATGTTGATTCTAGAATTAGTTAGATATGTGCATATAGTCTATCTCTCCATTAACTGGCTGTGGGACCTCATGTAAGTTACTTTTCTGTCTTTCCTCATCAATAAATTGCATGTTATTAATAGTACCTAGTCCTTAGGGTTGTTATGAAGAGTAACTGCATTAATACATGGAAAGAGCTCAGAGCAGCCTCTGACACATAGGTAGCCCTTTCTGTGTTAATCACTCTTATGAATTATTCCCTTCAGATGTTTTTAGAGTATAACAAAGTAACTTGGAGGGAGGGAGAGGAATGACGAGTCCAACAAGAACCTTTGTGTCTGGAATGTTCTGGGGTTTCAGTAGATTTGAGATACCTTCTTCCCAGCCCTTGTCCTATGAGATATGGGCAAATCCTCTGTCCCCTGAGGTCGTGACTTAGATAAACTCAAAGGTCACCACCTGTCCCAACACTCACCTCAACATTCAATGTGGTCTTGGGACCATTGGGTCATCTGGGAACTGTTCAAAGTGCAAATACTCCAGGTGCAAATCTTCAGGCCTCCTCCCTCCAGACCTATGGAAACACTGGAAATAGGCCCAGTAATCTGTGGTTAGGATCCTCCAGGTGACTGATGCCCACTCAGTTCAAGAAGCATTAAATTAGCAGTTTTTCTGGGCCCGCTTGATACCCAAGCAAAAAGTGCAAAGATTGCATCCAGAGAGAGATAAATTTCACTTAGGATCATTTATCACTCCACATTCTTCTTTAAGAAATGTTTAAAGAGGCAATGGGAGGGACTTGAGGAAGACAAAGCGGGGATGGGGGACGAGAAGTCTCTACAGGTAAGAAACCCAGGTTATATTTCTCTTTGCATTAACTTTCCGCAATCCCAAACCATCTGCCTGGGATACTTCAGATTTACTATCACGTCACTCACAAATGTATTCCTACTACTCCCCGCACGGCAGTAATGGGAG